AGATTCAGGGGAACGTACTAAACAGTAAACGAGTTGCTATTATTTGCCAGCACAAAGACTTTTAAATCCTTGCTATAAATAGTGTATTTCCTTTCAATTCCCAAGCAGAGCAAATTATATGCTATCGTTTTTTTTAAGCTTCAACAGTACTTGAAATCAATACAAATGATGCAAAAGATACCCATTTCACTACTAGAGACGCTGATGAAGTTCACTAATATTGGGTTTATAATACAGATTTTCAGAGCTCATAATAACACTTGTTCTTATTGCTCTTTGTCCAAAACTCTTAATCCATTTCTAATTAATAATGAGGTATATTTCCAAATGATATCCCACTTTTGCATCAATCCAGTACGCATCCATCCGTCCAGGTCAGTGGGGTCACTAGATGCCGCTTCTGCCTGCCTAGATATTGATAGCGTTAACCCTTGCTTGATCTTGATGAGACACTGTCCTAGCCTTTTTGCCTAGCCTTAGTATTCCCATTGCCTGGTTGGGGAACAGAGCTTCCCATTTCCAAACAACCAAGTCCTGCAGCCCACTTCCACTATTCCTATTTGGAAGCCCTGTGTCACTTACAGCATCAGGATTCATTCCATTTGATGGGAAGGTTTTGGGGAATGAAGGATGCAGCCCATGGTATCATGGCTAACACTGGCATCCCTCCCCTCCCCACAAGTGCCAATGCTGTCAAATCAGCTGACATCCCCTCTATTTCCATAATGCAGCAACCAATCAGGAGCCATGGCATCTGGAATCATAATGCACAGCATACAAGGGTACCCTGCGGTTGCTTAGGATCTACAATTCCAAAGTGGCATTGCCCAAATGTTCTAAAATGTCACCAGCTAATTTAGAACTAATAAAAATAACCCAGCAACTCTCATCATTTTTAGCCCAGATGTAATTCAGGTGGAGGAGGGATTCATACTGTAGCAGGAACCCCCCACCCCAATCATTCAGTTTGTACAAACTTCACACACACTCACACTCACACACTACATACGCCACACTTCTGTTATAAATTCATAGGAAAATCAACCATACATCGGATTTGCAGTGTTCCATTTTTATTTTACTCCATATGACAAGGACTATCAAAGGGGGGTCGCTTGGTTCTGGTCAGCCATAATCCCTTCACCATACCAGCACATCCACAGGAGCCATGCCCAGTTGCTATGCCAACCCTGATGATCCCAGACAGAAGACAATCAAGATCACAAAGAACTTGCATACGGGAGTGGATTCAGCATGGACTGGAACAAAGGACAATGATCAGATCTTCCCTCAGGGGGCAGGAAACTGCGACTACCTTTTGTCGTCAGAAAATGACTCATGGGGAGGGGGAAAGGAGGAACCAGCCAGGTGACAGGACACTCAGGTTACCACCACAACTCCTCCCTCAACCCCTCCTTTCTGTGATGTATGCATGATGTTTCTGGGGGTGGGCTTGAGCTACAGGAAGGGAATTTCAAAAGTTTTTATAAGACCTTACACACCATTTTTATTTGTCTTTCCTCTCTCTTGCAAGTGAGGGGAACACCCTGTTGCAACAGTTCAATAAAGGCCAAGCCTACAGGCTGCTGATTTGCTCCAATTTACTCTGGTTGGTGTCTTTACTTTTTGTCCAAGGGAGCCCTCGGATTTTTCCGGTAACAGTACATCTCAACAAGAGGTGGCACATTGGCCAATATTGGAAGAACTGCAAGGTGGCATCTGTCTATTGAAGACACGTCCAGCTCCCAAGAGACTGAGATCTACTGCCAGTGTAAAAAAAAAAAACTGGCAGTGATCTACACATTGACATTAGAGGGGGAACATGCATGGGATGGGTGGGTGGAAGGGGAGGACAGGCCAGAGTTGCTGAGCTTTTTGATGGGAGGAATGACAATCATCGTATCAACAATCGACATCGACAAACGCATAACACGCAAACACATTACACCACAGAGGAACAGAGATGGGGGTCGGGGGTCAGAAACATTCATTCGACCCCTTATTTTAATCCCATGATCAATAAGGGTCCCATGATCAACAGCGATCTACCAGGAGCACCCAGGGATCTACCTGCCGATCGCAGTCGACCGGTTGAACATGTCTGGTCTATTGCATCTTCTTATAAGCAAAGGAACCACCAGGGTTAACAATGAACAAGTCCATTGTGTTTACCACAGATGACTCAATAAGACTTTTCACCAGTTTCCTTAGATTTCAAACACTTTGATTATTACTGTTACTATATTTCACAGTGGAACAGTCTGCCTCAGGAGGTGGTGGACTAGCCTTCCTTGGAAGTTTTTATGCAGTGGTTGGATGGACCTCTGTCAGGGATGCTTTAGTTGAGATTCTTGCATTGCAAGGGGTTGGACTAGATAACGCACAGGGTCCTTTCCAACTCCACAGTTCCATGATTCTAAGTAACTAGTGTACTTTATTTATTACTTTATTTATATCCTGCCTTTCCCCCTGACCAGTGGCAGACTTCAGGTTTTAAAATTTCACCTTGTGCAATGCTAAAATTGCCTCCACCTCTCACATCCCATTCTACAACATTGTTGTGGTACTCCTTGCAGCACAGCACCCAGTTCGGCCAAACTGGTCGAGCTACCCTAAAACCACCTCTGCCCTGACAAGGACTCAAGACAGCTTACAAATAAAGTAAGAAAAGCTAGAAACAGTCCTTTAAAAAGCATTAAACAGAATTAAAACATGCCCCCCCTCTCTCTCTCTCTCTATATATATATATATATATATATGCAGATAATTACAATGAAAACAATGAAAAACAGCATTAGCTCCACCAGCTTAAGCCCTACCATATGTGTGTGTTTGTGGCAATTATTGCAGCTCTCTTGTTCTTTGCCAACTATTGCATTATTCCTACCTTAAGGCCACCACATGAGAAGGTACTTGAAGAGCTTCTGAATTATATATATATAAAAGTCAAGTGTATTTGTCCTTTGTGGCTGCAATTCAATAAAGGTATAAGCCCACATGGGAAATAATTGTCGAAACAGCCAGGGGTTTCTTTGGAGCTTCCGCTGCAGCTGGAAAGGCAAGGCAGGTTTTACTTAAAATTTAATCTAAAGAATTGGTTGGTTTGCCAGTGTATGTTTGGTTATTCAGAATTTTCCTCAGTTATTTTCACTGCAGTCTCAAGGATGTTTGAAAACTGCCAGCGGCCTGTGGGCGGCAGTTTTAAGCATCATTTGACTGGGGCGAAACAGTTAAATGCTTTGAGGACTAGTATTCTAACAACCAGGTAAAGGTAAAGGGACCTCTGACAGTTAAGTCCAGTCGTGAATGACTCTGGGGTTCGTGGCGCTCATCTCGCTTTACAGGCCGGGGGAGCCGGCATTTGTCTGCTCTGCAGACAGTTTTTCCGGGTCATGTGGCCAGCATGACTAAGCCTCTTCTGGTGCAATGGAACACCGACACCAGACCAGAGCATGGAAACACCGTTTACCTTCCCACCGGAGTGGTACCTATTAATCTATTTGCACTTTATGGGTTGCTTTCAAACTGCTAGGTTGGCAGGAGCTGGGACCAAGCAACGGAAACTCACTCCATCGCAGGGATCTGAACCACCGACCTTTTGATTGGGAAGCCTAAGGCCAGGATTTACATCCAAAAGTCACACCTAAACCACATGAAATCATAAACTTCCTAAATGCTACAGCAGGTATCACGAACCTTTTTAGACTGCGGCGCCAGCCACAACATGTCTGCCATGGGGATGATGGCATAACACAAAATAGGAGAGAGAGTACAATGGTGAAGTTTCCCCCACAAATGTATTTCTATATGGGAGAAGGTTGAATCTGTTGAATTTCTGCCTGGAGTCATTGCCATTGCCTGGTGTCCAAACAACTCACTTAATCACCACTTGACCCAAAATGCTGACAGGTGGGGCCAGCCAAGCTTGCTCTTTTTGCAGAAATCATTTAGAAGGGTGCCTGCACATCTTGCTTCATAACTTTCTTTCTAGGAGGGCTAGAAACATACTCTAAAAAAAGAAAGAATGTCACTGCAGGTGCCATGGGGCCTGCTACTGCCAGGCTGGCAACTCCTCGGCTACAGAATGCACATGGTCTGCATAATGAAGTCCTGGTGACCTTGGCATCCAGTATTCTGGAGCACAAAGGCCTTGTCAACTCAGTCACACATTCATCACTTGACAAGTAGAATATCAAATGTACGCCTGGCTGAGCCATTATAGATCTAGCACCACAGATAGTATTTACAAATCACCTGCTGTCACCTCAAAGGCAATAATTTTCTGTGCAGTTGCTTCAAATGTTCATCTATCAGTTATCAAACACTGAGTAATTTAATTAAGAGTAATTATAATACACATGGATGTTTTTTGACCAGATTGACATCCATGCCTGGCATTACTCTTGCTTACAGGACTGCACCCACAGAATCATTCTGATGATCAATGTCAGAAGATTTAGTTCCATTTCTACTAATGCACCATTCACCAATATGCCAGGTCAGCATAGTGCAATACTGTACATCATTTTTAAAGTGTGAGCCCTTGGAGAAGAAGAACAGGAGAAGAAGGAGGAGGAGGAGTTTGGATTTGATATCCCGCTTTATCACTACCCTAAAGAGTCTCAAAGCGGCTAACAATCTCCTTTCCCTTCCTTCCCCACAACAAACACTCTGTGAGGTGAGTGAGGCTGAGAGACTTCAGAGAAGTGTGACTAGCCCAAGGTCACCCAGCAGCTGAATGTGGAGGAGCGGGGAAGGGAACCCGGTTCACCAGATTATGAGTCTACCACTCTTAACCACTACACCACATTGGCTCTCCTATAGGAGAAACCTATACAGCATCATGTTCGTAGATGGTGCCACATACATTTAAATTGGACCAAAACTCTTGCATAAAAGTGGCTTAAGATTCATTTTGATTCGTTCTCCCACACTTACCATTTAGACGAGAGCCACAAACATAATTGAGCCATTCCATTTTAACAAGATCCACAACTTACCACAATCTTCCGAGTCCCTACTCAGCCAGGTGGTAGTTGATTGGCCTTTGCCCAGAAGGGTCAAGTGAAATTTGTTGAAGACCTCAAGTCATAGAGATGACAGTCAACATATCCAATTTTTCAGTGACCAAGAAGCACATCTCTCAGTTGCAAGGAAACGACAGTATGTATTCTTCCCCCTGGAAACAAAAAAATAAAATTAAGTAAAATGCTGTTCTAGAACAGCAGCAGCTGCTGCGTAGTTAAAAAAGAAAAAAAGGCTAAGGGGAAGGAAACAGAGAAAGAATATAAAAACTTAGGAGAGTTCACTTCCATATGGAAAGCTGGGAAGAAAGGGGCTACAGCTTGATGGCAGTGCATGCAAATTTTCTGCATCACTATGGCATCACTAGTTAAAATAAAACCAGGTAGCAGATGCTATGAATGATTTCTGTCAGATCCTCAAGAGCCACTGTCAAGTCAAAGTAGACCCTACAGGTCTAGTCTGCCTGGTTTTCATTTGGAATAGGAGCAGGTTTCTATAGAACTATCAAAATTCAGAGATTAAGTAATGCATTTGTTAAATTACTCTGACAACAAAAATAGCTCTAGTTTACCTTGCAAATGGAAAATAAGTGCATGCCAATGAACAGCATATTGCCAGATTATAATATAGATCATGATGAACCAGAAATTTTGTAAATATACTGAGCTATCAGTGTTGTGTAGAGGATCTTTCAAAGTTATAAATGAAACACGGAGAGAAATATTTAAATTCCTAAACGGGGGGGGAAAAGATAGCAACATCCACAATAACTAATAGGTTTCTAAAGTGTAATCCAACTCAAGTGTGGCTTCGGGGCTTTTTCTTGCATGTCAAAAGTACTTCAAGCTCCTCTGATAAGGCTTTATGAGCGCAACACTATACAGTAGTCAACACTGCTGCAGATAAAGAGTACATGCCCAGGAACTCCTCACAAGTGCTGTCAAATAATTAGCTCAGTGTCCTTGACATAATTACTCTGATAGGGAGTACATACATGCATATTTGAGATAGGTGAATTCTTACTTAACCAAGCAGGAGATAAAATATGCTGCATTATTCTGACCTCTAAGAAAATAAAATGGCTACAGACAGGGAGGGGAAGGGAGGGAGGATTTCAGAGCATCTCCAAGAAGTTTCACATATATTCATTTGTCTTCCTTATTCTCTCAGTCCTCCTTGAATGAAAACTCCCCACTCCTGCCCACCTAGCAGTTTGAAAGCACGTCAAGTGCCAGTAGATAAATAGGTACTGCTCCGGCGGGAAGGTAAACGGCGTTTCTGTGTGCTGCTCTGGTTCGCAAGAAGCGGCTTGGTCATGCTGGGCACATGACCCAGAAGCTGTACGCCGGCTCCCTCGGCCAATAAAGCGAGATGAGCGCCACAACCCCAGGGTCGGCCACGACGGGACCTAATGGTCAGGGGTCCCCTTTACCTTTACCTTTACAACCCTCCCCCCTCCATCTGACAGTTGCCCCAGCCACTCTGGGAGCTTGGGACATATATATAAACACAACAAACAGTTTTTTAAAATAAAAACCTTCCCTATAGAGGGTTGCCTTTGGATGTCTTCTAAAGGTTGTATAGTTACTTATCTCCTTGGTTCAGGGCTCGCATAACGCCAACATTTCTCTGATGAAAATAGGGACATCCTACCATACCCTCCAATAAGGATGTCCTAAGGAAAGTTGGGAGATCCTCAAATGAAATCAGAAACTGGGACAGCTTCTGTAAATCTGGGACTGTCCCTGGGAAATAGGGACATTCCAAGGGTCTCCCCTGAAGGAACTGAATACTCCTGGACTGGAAAAAAAGAGAATTTGGGGAGTCCGTTTTCTCTCAGACCTAAGAGCAGCAGAGCGGGGAAAAGCAGCATTCTGAAAACATTCCAATTTTAGGAGAAAACTTGTATGCTATCCACTTAGTTTTTCATACTAAGATTTTAGTAAGTGGGACATAAAAGACGCTAAGGAATACTTTGTGTAAAGGGGCCTTCAAAAGCCAAAATAATGCTGCAGCTTGCCTGAGCTCCCTCACATAAAAGAGCTAAATGATTTGCTCTCAGATTTAGCAACCCCAGCAAAAAGAGAGATCACTTTAAAATATAGAATAAGGGATATATATTGGTAGGTGCCTGAAAAGAAATCTCTAACTCATCACACTGTGCTTTCAAGGGAAGCTTTAAAACAAAATGGAGGCACTTCAAAATACCTATTAATTTTGCTTCTAAGAAAGAAACTAATCTCTCATGCCTGTAGGCAATTAGAGTTACGTGGCCTTCCGGGCTGGAAAAAATGACAAACTGGAGAGTATCAGACTGAATAAACATTAGGATACCAGACTCATGCAGCCTTTGGGAATCACTCGATAACATTATTTTTGAGACATCTCAAGCTGAATGGCATTAAACCTTCGAGGAACCAATTTCCATTTGAAATGAAGAACCAACATTGTCCATAAAGTGAGAGCTTAGCTTAAAGTCCTGTTTTTCACAAACATATTCAGCAGTATCAAAAATTGGGGGGATTGGGGGGGCAATTATTTTGGCACAGCTTGTGAAAAGGCGAGTTCAATCATTTAGACTGCCGTAATTTTTTAGTTTTCATTACATCACCTCAATGACATCATCCCATAGCTTAAGGATGGAGAACATGTAGACTTCCATATGACGCTAGACTACAGCTCCCATCATTGATAACCATTGGCCATGCTGGCTGGGACTGATGGGAGATGGAGTCCTCCAACATAGGGAGGGACACCGGTTTCCCATTCCTGATGCGGTAAAATCCAACAGCTAGTTTGTGTGCATCACATGATCTTATACACTGCATGATTCTTGATTGGCCAACTGGGGTGGTGGAATGGAAGTGAAAGGAAATTTAAATCCTTTCACTAGGAACAAGAGAAGGCCTAAGAAAGCACAAACTGCAGGACAAACTTTGTTATTCTGGAAACTATACTGCATCCCCAAAACTGCTGCTACATGAATTTATTTATTTATTTTTAATACTCAGGGCTGTACCCATTCTGCTTGTGCAACGGAAATCCCCTCTATTCTCCTCTCTACAAATGCCCTCAAAAACTGGAGAGTTCAAAACATTAAGTGGCATATTTTATAAATTCAAAGCGGTGTTACCAAAGGATCAAACCATACAATGAATAAGAAAAACAGCACAATAAAATAAAAGAATGCTATTTTCCGTCCTCCAATGACCCAATGCACCAGCCACTATTAAACACACCAACCCATGATCAATGATCAAGGAATGCTCGGGGGAAACAGAGTTTTCAGAAGCGTCTTCAACTTTGTTAGGTCTGCAGACACATTTGCACTCTGGAGAAATGGTTGTGGGCACCAAACACACACTGCGGCAACCTATGCAATTTGATACAACAGAATGCTTATTTCACGTCTGATTTCAACAAGGTAAGCAGAGAGAAGAGCGCTTGTGGGCGCCACAGAAAGCCTCTGTGGGCACATGTGCATCTGTGGGTGCCACAATGGCAACATAAAAACATGAAATAGATGGCACATGGTGTTGGGATACTGCCAGGGAGACAAAGTCCATCATGGCCCCACGTCTACTCCGGAGCGTCCATTGATCTCCCGTAGACACGCAGTATCAGCAATTAGCGACACAAGTTCCAGAATGTAGTCCCACATTCCAGGGCTGGTGCACACTCTTATCAGCAGATAATGCACAGCAAAAGATGCACGCAGGAGAGCATATTTACAAGTTTATTCAGCGTTGGTCAGAACAAAGAAAAAACATGACTGCCTGCTTCAGCGTTCAGGCACGAAGAAGGAAACGAAAGCAAAGACACAACAGAAACATCCTGTGAAACAGGAAATACGCAGGCTGTGACACAAACATCCTGCTCCCTTTTAAGGTGGAATGGAAATATCCTATTTTCCCCACCCCCCTAGAAAAGACTATCATTGAAAGCTGCTTGACAGGTAGATAAGCAGGTTTATAGACATTGTTTGTGGCACCAACACCAAGGGCTACCCAGTTGCCGCTGACCTGTGACAGTGCCTTTTTGGTGGTAGTTCCCCGGTTGTGGAATGCCACCCCTAGTGAGATGTGCCTGTCTTCTTTATTATTCAATTTCGGGAGTAATTTGAAAACATCCCTGTTTACCCAGGCATTTGGCAGCTGCAGAATACTGTTCCTGACAACCTCAAGATTACTGGATAGAATGACTGTCTTTAGATGTTTTTCTCTAAATGAAATGTTTTCTTTTTAAAATAATGTTTTAATGGATTTAGATTTTTAAAATAATAATAATAATAATGTTTGCATTCCTGTGCTCCTTCAGGAAGAAGGGAGGGATACAAATTCAATAAATAAATATCCTACAGGTACAATCCACACTTCTGCCAGTCGTTCATTTGTCACATAAAAACCTATGAAAAAAGAAGAGGAGGATTCTTCTAATACCTTGATACTATTTTTTTTTTAAGATGACATAAATAAATAAATAAATAAATTCAATTTATTTAAGTAATTCCACTTTGGATCAGCGTAGGGAACGTCCTGTTATGAGTTTCAATATATTTTTAGAGTTCTGAATATGATATAATCACTCTTTTGCTACTATGTTGGCCCATGCAAAAGAATATTTTATTGCAGTGAAGATCAATGGGAGACACTGTGGTAAACTACAATAAACCACTGAGTGATGTAAATGTTTAGCTTAGCAGCTTGAGTACTTTTTTCATGCCATTTTGGGACACACACAATTCAATTATACCAAAATATTATTGTTGATTTAACTCAGTGGTCTCTAGATGTCACTGTATTTTTTCCCCTTGATGATTGTTGTTCATCCTGGATGAAGCTGAAGTTTTTAAGAGCTGCATATAGATGTTATTCATTTCACATTACGGCATAAAATAAATCTGTGTAACTGTATTTCATATTCAATGTGAAGGAATAGGCTTAATTTGCAATTTCTGCATGATGTACTTAATCAGCCTTGCTAATTATGAGACCTACTGAATTTTCCAGATCAGCAAAAATTGCCAATGTAGGGAGCTTTTAAATTGAGGACATTTCCTATTGACCATATTCCAAAGCCTCTTCTTTATCACTAATTCATAATGAAAGAAGGAGAAATATCAGTGTTTCAATAATAAAAAAACCTCAGCATAGA